AATTTGGACATTTTCACTTTGGGGTGTACTCACTTTTGTGGCCAGTGGTTTAGACATTAATGGCTGTGTGTTGAGTTATTTTGAGGGGACAGCAAATTTACACTGTTATACAAGCTGTACACTCCTTTCTTTACATTGTAGCAAAGTGTCATTTCTTCAGTGTTGTCACATGAAAAGATATAATAAAATATTTACAAAAATGTGAGGGGTGTACTCACTTCTGTGAGATACTGTATGTATGTATATATATATATATATATACACACACACACAAAATGTATAAGTTATTATTGTAATTATGATTATTTTACCTTTATGCGCTTTAACATGCACTACCATACTGACATAGCAAGTGGTGTATGTAGTCACAAAATCAGACCCAACTGAGATGCAAGTTACCAGATGTAAACAGTAGTGTGTCTCCACTTGTGACGGCATCATGTGATACGGATGTTCATACCTGGTGTAAACAAGAACGTGATGGACAGGCTGGGGTGTGTATCAACTATTAACAGTAAAGTACTCTTTCTCCCTGTCTTTCTCTCTCAAGGCAAGCATGTTTATCTCTCTGCCAGGATTGATGAGAATTTGGCTGTGCGTCCCTATACACCAGTGTCTAGCGACGATGACAAAGGATTCGTTGACCTCGTTGTGAAGGTTCTGATTGTCTATATTTCTTAAAAAAGCTCCTGGGGTTTTAAACGGTAGTATGGAGCTGACATATTTCATTCTGCAGATTTATTTTAAGAATGTGCACCCAAAGTTTCCAGAAGGGGGAAAGATGTCCCAGTACTTGGAGAGTTTGAGGATTGGAGATGTGATTGACTTCAGAGGACCAGGAGGTTTGCTGGAGTACAAGGGGCAAGGTCTGACTCAGCACATTTACTATCAATATTTGAACTTGGATGGATGTATTTACACAGTGGTCACACCTTAGACCTACATCTCCACCCAACAGGTCAGTTTGCTATACAGGCCGATAAGAAGACCCCTGCTGAGACTAAGACTGTAAGAACGTTGGGTCTTATAGCTGGAGGAACTGGTATAGTGTCTTATTCTCAATTTCTAGCCATAATAATGCTGTATGATCACTAAAGTCATTTGTTCTGCTCCCTTTGTAGGCATTACGCCAATGTTGCAGCTGATTCGTGACATCATCAAAAACCCAAGTGATACAACGACATGCAGCCTGCTGTTTGCCAACCAGGTTGGTGTTCCATTAGAAAAGAGATTGTTTTAAATTTATTACTGACCAATTTTTGTGGGTGTGTGTGAACTATCTCTTTCAGAGCATGATGAAATGGTTTGTTCATAAACAACATATTAAATAAAAGTGATGTTCAGACAGATTAAACTGCAAGTCTAAAATGAATCGGTTTACTTTTCGTCTGCCTTCCAGACTGAGAAGGACATTCTGCTGAAGGATGATCTGGAGGAGATTCAGGCGAGGCATCCGGATCGCTTCAAACTCTGGTTCACAGTGGACCGAGCTCCTGCAGGTATATGGCTTCCTACCGATCCTACAAATTATAAAGCTTGGTATACATTTGTTTTTAAAAGTTTGGGGTCAGTGAGATTTTTTTGTGTTTCTGAAAGTCTCTTATACTCACCAAGGCTGCATTTATTTGATCAAAAATAATATTAAGTAATATTGTGAAACATTGTTACAATTTAAAATTACTGCTTTCTATTGTAATATATTTTAAACTGTCATTTATTTCTGTGAAGGCAAAGCTGAATTTTTTCAGCATCATTACTCCAGTCGTCAGTGTCACATGATCCTTCAGAAATCACTCTAATATGATGACATGCATTCAGGGTTCCCACGCATCCTAGAAAACCTGGAAAATTGATGACTCATTTTCCAGTCCCGGAAAATTGTTTTTAAAAATTTTATTGTGTTTTCCTTTAGTCAATAATGAACAGTTTACCACTGGCCTGAAACAATTAATGTTAGTAGTAGAAAACGTTGAACGGCCATAAATTGGAACCGGCCTGTTTTTGCTCCAAACGCGTGATTGGAAATCGGTTCTTTTTTCTTTTTATTTCAGGCGATCTCTGTTCTGGACTTGCACACAAACTGTATTGCAAGCATTTTCCAAAATGTAATTTGTGTGGAAATATTACAAAGGCTGTACACGGGACGTTAACAGAGGCCAGAGACGCTGAAGACGAACACAAAGAGGGGAAAATACTGTAGCTGGCAGAGCAGCTCATTTGTTTAATAAATAGAAAGAATAGAAAAAACTGCTTTTATTTTAAATAGAAATTATATAATTAATGAAAAATTATGAATGCCATTTTTGATCAGTTTAATGCAACCTTTCTAAATAAAATAATTTAAAAAGTAAAAAAAAATCTTTTAAAAAATCTTAACCCCAAAATTTTGAACAGTAGTGTATGTTGGTCATTGACATATTTATAAATTGTAAAAATAAAAAATATAAGTTTAATATTGTAATTTGACTTGACCTCCTATGATGAATGTTTTTAATTTCTGAATTAAAATTCCTTTTGATATTTCATTTGTCATTGTGATACAACTTTTTCAAAAAAGGGAAACCAACATAAAAACAGAGTACATTTAAGAACTTGGGATGTGTTTTAGACTAGATTTTTATTTTTATTGATCATATATATTTGTTTTTTGTTGTTGTTTTTTGACATTTACCTGCATTTACGTATCTGCAGATTGGGAGTACAGTCAGGGCTTCATCAATGCTGAGATGATTCAGGAGCACCTGCCTCCACCCAGTGATGACTCTATGATCCTCATGTGTGGTCCACCTCCCATGATCCAGTTTGCATGTAATCCCAACCTGGACAAACTGGGCTACAGGCAGAGCCAACGTTTCGTCTATTAGACCATTCTCAATGCTCAGGGCCCAGACACAAATTACTCCAAAGATACTAAATTACACACAATTGTGTTTAAGCTAATATTGCATATAATAAATATTAAATGTTTAAGTGCTAGTCTGTCCAGAGGTAATTGGTTCTTCATAGTAAAAGCCTATTATTCTAATACGATACAGAGACAGTCTGCTGTATCCTCGGGCTTTATATTGACTATTGTGGCTTGATGTGCTATACAATAAGATGCTGATACTACAAAAAAGCACCAATTTAATGCACTAAAAAAGGCACTAGAGTTTTAAGACACCTGCTTGCTGAATTTAATGCTGAATATTATAATTCACGTGCCTGTGTGACGTGACTGGCATTCTTGTTTGATGTATGTATACATTGTTATGATATGCATTTGCTGTCACTGGAGTATTTTTGTATGCATGCTGCACTCCATATATGTTTATCTTTTATGTTAACCATATATGAATTTTTAAAAGCAATGCAATTGTTTTCTATGAAATGCACTAAAGCAACAAAAAAGTGCTTATTAAAGTGTTTTCACTGGCATTTTATTGTTTAATTGCTCCCCCCAGCATTGCATGGCCAAATCTGAGGATTTTATGTATGTTGTGGTTGTATGATGCTCACATTTGAATTGACTGCGATTATAAAGAGTGCCTAGGATGAGGATTGGGGATTATAGGAGATTGTCAGCAAAGGCCAGCTGGTTTAACACAGAAATACTCCATCTTGAAAGACTGATAGTAGGATTTTTTATCATCCTAAAGCCTGCCAGCGCGTGCTGGATAAATGTGACCATCACACAAACAGGCTGTGGTTTGGTTAAGCCCTTCAGTGTTTTCTGTGCAGTCCTCAGATGGATGTTCAACCGCCACTGTCTGGTCTTTTACAATAAAATAAATCACCTGCTGGAGATTACTGCTCTAAATTTGGAAACATTTACAAGAACCATCAAATAAATGGACTAGCGCCCCTAAAGAGCGATGTGGGGACTTTGCCAAATCTAGCGCCGCCTTTCGCCAGCAGGCGGCGCTATTTCAAAGACAACAGCGAGCCAGTTTGAACTCGCCGTCTGACACACGGCAGCTTTCAACTCTATTTCTCCATCCTGCTGGTATTTGGTCGCCATCCGGAAGAGATCCAATTTCTTTAACAGCGCATCTGGACATCAGGTAACCGTCTATACGAGAAAATGCATCGTTATTTCAATGCAACGGCAAAATTATGATTCCCATGTTGTTATGTACGCATCCAGACACTGTAGTTTAGCGGTGCACAGCGGTCTCAATGCTAACCTGCTTTATTACAACAGCTTTGTGTTTTTAAAAGGCTTAATTTCGTACTAAATTAATCGTTGTTAGAAACATATTTTGCGTATCATATAGTTGTTGTTATATCGTTGTTGCTATGTTATGTATCTTGTAAGTGTTGATCATGACGTGTACCGGTGTTCTGGCTGCTCGTCCCCTAAAATTTAAAGCCCGTTGTTAGCCAGCAGCTACTTTCCGTTAGTCATGGTTATGAGTGCTGCTGTATGATGCCGCTTAATACAGAGTCAGTTATATCGGTTTTATTTCGAAATCTAATGAGCTGCCTAACGTTACCTAGACAGTGTATTTGGAACCATATGTGAGTTCGAACATTTGATTCGAATTAGTGGTGAGGATTTTGATACAAAAATAAAAGATTCGCTCGGTGGCTCTTCTCCGCAGGTGACACGGTGACGCCAGCTCGTGGCGACGGATGAGCGAGTCGATCTCTCGTTTACTCAGCCGATTCGAGAAACACTTTGTCGCTCACAGGTCTATATATATAAGTCTGTATATAAAAATTGTCTACAGTTGTTGTCAACTGCTAGACATTATATTTTGTCAGGCTACAGAAAGAGACAACAATTATAAATAAATTAGAGGTTCAAGAACATCATCATCTGTCATTCATTGATTTTGCACACATTCATGATTCTACTTAATGAACAAAATATCTGATTCATTCTTGAGTTTAGTTTTAATAGAGTGCAACAATTGCCCCTTTCACACATAAAGTCTTTACTGGTAAATTACTGGTAAATTCAGAGGCGGACGAAGTACTCAACTCCATTACTTGAGTGAAAGTACAGATACTGCTGGTCAAATATTACTCCATTACAAGTAAAAGTTGTAAAGACTTTTTACTTAAGTAAAAGTACAGAAGTACTTGCTTTTAAAAGTACTTAAGTACCAAAAGTAAATTTCCTTTTTTATGTCAATGCACATATTTTTTATTGTTGTACGTAATACTTGCAATACCTCTGAAGCAACTTACAATACA